TGGTGGACCACGTCACCCGGTGGTTCGGCGTGGTGAGTACCCTCAGCGGGCAGGGGGGCACCTGGCTCTGGGGTCTGGGGTGAGTGTGCTGCTGGGGCAACTGAGTCTCAGGGTTGCCAGTGCCCTAGGCTAGAAGGGAGTGGGGACCTCAGCCTGTGGTTCAGATGGGTTTACTCTAGCCGCATCCTGCCTGTGCCTCTCCCCTGGCAGTGAGGGGCAGGCGCTGCCCGCTCCGATAACTCAGGCCCATTTCCCATAGGTGTTTGTGGCACTGGTGATTGGGCTGACGAGCTCCATTGTGGCCATCGTGTACATTTGCCTGCTGCCCCTCATCCTGCAGACCTACACGCCTGCCTGGATCTGCTGGCACCTCGCCTATGGACACTGGAACCTCATCATGATCGTCTTCCACTACTACATGGCCATCACCACCTCGCCCGGGCACCCACCGCAGGTGATACTTGACTGGCAGCACAGCCTCTCCCAGCTGGGCTCTGGGGGCCTGCTGTGGATGGTCTGGTGGCCTCGTTGCAGGAGGCCTCCGGATCGGGGCAGCTAGGCTGGGCAGTGTGGGGAGGGGAGGCAGGGGAATCACAGGGGAGAGGAGGAGCATGGGGAGCAGGGGATGGGTGAAGGGCTCAGGTGCACAAATCCCTTCTGACCTTCGCGCAGGCCAAGGACGATCTCACCGGCGTCTCCATCTGCAGGAAATGCATTGCCCCCAAGCCAGCTCGCACCCACCACTGCAGCATCTGCAACAGGTAGGGCTCCTCTCTCCCTCTGCCCACCGCAGCACTCAGGGCAGCCTCCAGGACCCCTCTCCTTGGCCCCTGCCATGCTGCAAGACCGGGGCCCCTTCCCCTCTGCTCTGCTGGCTTATTGCCTCATCTCTAGCCCAGCACGGTGCTTGCACTGGCACTGATGCTGGCACTGCTCTCCTCCCTCCCAGGTGCGTGCTGAAGATGGACCACCACTGCCGTATCCTTCTGCGGTACTAACCCACGGCACTCTCCCAGGGGAGCCGGCCCTGCTTCCCTCTTCTCTCCCTGCCCCACTCCTCCCGAGTCAGCCAGCAAGGGAAGGGTGCTGGGGGCTGGGCCCAGGAGGACGGCACTGGTCCCCAGGGTGGGTTTGGGCCCGTGACTTGTCATGGTTACACACCTTTAACACCAGAGGCAGCCTGGCTAAACAACTGTGTGGGACACTACAACCACCGCTACTTCTTTTCCTTCTGCCTGTTCATGACCATGGGTTGCATCTACTGCAGCATCAGCGGCTGGGGGATGTTCCGGGGAGCCCACGCTGCCATCGTGGGGACCCCTGGCTAAACAACTGTGTGGGACACTACAACCACCGCTACTTCTTTTCCTTCTGCCTGTTCATGACCATGGGTTGCATCTACTGCAGCATCAGCGGCTGGGAGATGTTCCGGGACGCCTACGCTGCCATCGAGGTGAGCAGGCAGGCCCCGGCCCTCGCCCTGCCCTGCACCGAGGCTGCCTGGGCTGCCCAGGCTGAGCTTGCAGAACAAGGCTGGGCCAGCCCTGGCCTTGTAGTGACTTTGCTTCCCCTCTGCCTCCTCCTTTGAGGCACCCAGCTGCCCTGGCCCTGCGGGGGGTGAGGGGGAAGTGCCCCCTCCTCTGAGACACCTAACTGGTGCCCTGTTTTCCATCCCCCTAGAGAATGAAACTGCTTGAGAAGGAGAGACTGCAGGTGGCTGCCAACCAGGTGGGACATCCCTGCCCCCCAGCTGCTCCAGGCAGTGTGGAGCGGAGCTGCCCTGCAAGGCTGGGTCCCACTCGGGGCCCTGCTCTCAAGGAGCACCCCACAGCCAGAACCAGCACCCATGCTCGTCTCGTGTGTTGGAGAGCTGGGGCTGGCCGGGCAGCTCTGCTAGGGGCACTGCCTCCAGCAGCTGGGGGTCTGCTTCCCTCTGCACCCAGCTTCCAGGGGCTTTAGCTGGTGGCAGCTGCTTGGCATGTGCTGCTCAGGCCCTGCTCTCCTGGGGAAGCCGCAGCAGCGTGCACACATCTTGTCCCAAGCATTGGCTGTGGTGTGGTGCGGTGTCCTGACCACGGCTGCTCCCTGCCCCCTTACCTCCAGCCCACTGCTTCTCACCCATGTGCCGGCCCTCGGGTGTGTCTGTCTGTCTGTCTGATGGCTGTCTCAGGCTGCCTCCCCATCACCCTGGCTGTTGTGTTGGTTCCAGCCATGGTCCTTTCTAGCTGTCCAAGCTCCGCATCGGTGTGGGGCGCAGCAGTTCCCCCTGTCTGGCGCCGAGCTGTAAAGCAGCCCGAGTAATCCCGTCCCCCTCTGGTCCTTTTTCAGACGTACTACCAGACCCCGCCACCCACCTTCTCCTTCCGCCAGCGAGCTTTCCACAAGAGCGTGGTCTACCTCTGGGTCCTGTGCAGGTAACGGGGCCCGGGGCTGGGAGCGAGGGTGCTGGTGGAAGCAGCGTGTGGCCCTGTGACCTTGCTCACCCTCTACCTTCCCCGGGGCTGGGCTGGCTTGCTCTAGCCCAGGCGTCCCTGCCCTGCCAGCTCTCTGGCCACAGAGGAGGAGAGATGTCCGCTCTGTCATGGGGATTAGATGAGCCCACCCACCTACGCAGCCGTGGGTGTGGGGAGGCAGCCTCAGCACACCCCCCCAGCTGCGGTACCAGGGGAGGAACAGCTGCGTGCAACCCGCTGTCCCTCGCTGTCCCCAGCTCGGTTGCCTTGGCCCTGGGTGCCCTCACGCTGTGGCACGCTGCCCTCATCACCCGTGGGGAAACCAGCATCGAGCGGCACATCAACAAGAAGGAGAGGCAGAGGCTGCAGAAGAAAGGGAAGGTGAGCGCAGCCCCCGGAGCGGGAGGGCCAGCCAGGGCAGAGCCAGATGTGATGTGCGTCTCCCTGGCCTGCAGGTCTTCAGGAACCCCTACAGCTACGGTGGCTGGGATAACTGGAAGGTGTTCCTGGGTGTGGACGCGCCAAGGTAAAGCCCCTGCCCAGGAAGGGGGTGGCTCAGTGGTGTGTGGGGGTGCTGGGACACTGGGCGTCTCCTTTGGGCAGCTGGGGCAGAGCAGGACAGTGAGCACCCCATGCTGTGTGCTGCGCTGGGCATCGAGCACAAGGTGGAGCACAAGTCCCACCAGGAGTGGCTGAGGGAACCGTGGTTGTTCAGCCTGGAGGAGGCTGAGGGGAGACCTTATTGTCCTCTACAACTGCCTGGCAGGAGGGTGTAGTGAGGTTGGGGTCGGTTTCTTCTCCGAAGTAACAGGCAATAGGACAAAGGGAAATGGCCTCAGGGTGTGCCAGGGGAGGTTTAGATTGGACATTAGGAAAAATGTCTTCACCAAAAGGGCTGTCAGGCTCTGTAACGGGCTGCCCAGGGAAGTGGTCGAGTCCCCATCCCTGGAGGTATTTAAAAGCCAGGTGGATGAGGTGCTTAGGGACATGGTTTAGTGGTGGGCAGGTATGGTTGGACTCAATGATCTTAGAGGTCTTTTCCAACCAAATGATTCTACGATCAGCTGCCTTGTGGCTCCTCAGCCCTACCTAAGAGGGTCTGGAACCCAAGGGGGTCCTGGCTGAGGAGCTCGGCCACCGTGGCAGCTCAGGGACGCAGGCTCGCACCCGTCACTGGTGCCACCAGCCCTGGCTCGGCTCTGCAGAGCCCAGAGGCACCAAGACTTCAGCGTTCTGCTGTGGCCTCACTCCTCTCCCCGCAGGCACTGGCTCACCCGTGTCCTGCTGCCCTCTCCTCACCGGCCCCACGGGACGGGCCTGAGCTGGGACCTGCCTCCCTGCGTGACCCAGCAGCGCACGCCGCTCCTGGCCATCTGAGACGTCCCTCCCCGCAGGCAGGGGAGCACACAGGGGCCCAGCTCTGCCACCACAGCTCCCTTTGGCCCAAGGCGGGTGCTGGCACATAGCGCTGACCGGAGCCAGAGCCACAGGAAACTGTTTGGACAGTGTCGGTACCTGGACGCCTGCTCTCGTGGCTCCTTGGGGGCTGCAGGCAGCCCCGGGGGGAGGGCGGCAGAGCTGCTGCTCCCCACTCCGTAAAACCAGCCAATAAATATATTTTTTTTTTTAAGGAAGCCTGGCTCTTTTCCCTGGTGGGAGGTGCAGAATTCTGAGGGCAGGGGAGGAGAGGGAGCCCCGTGATCCCCCAGTGTGGAAAGAGGAGTAAGGGCCTGTAACCAGTAGCACCTTTGCCTGCTGAAGGGATGGAAGGGTGCTGGAGTCCCAGGGTGGGCTGCAGGGAGGCCCCGGCAGCATTACCAAAACAGATATATTTATTCCTCGGGCGCGTGGGTTGCCACACAGCGTACGCGTGTGCGCAGGCCTGCCCTCTCCACCCACACGCGGTGAGTCTGTCCGTCACTGTCCCTGGCTGCAGCAGAGGCTGGGAAAGCCACGAGCAGCACAGCTCCTTCCCTCCGGCGGGCGCCAGGAAGAGGGTGGAGGTGCCGGGAAGGTGCTGCAGTGAGGGGGGCTGTCTGCCGGCCGCCAGGCTCCAGCCCCGGTGCTCGGGGCAGCAGACGCTGGGCTCGGAGGGTCCGGGG